AGAATAGTTTCTAAATTTAAAATAACTTAGAGTCTGTTTTGTTTGTGTGAAGTTTATATCTTATTAATAATATTTAAGTTTGACAATGTTTGAATTACAAAGAATATTAAATATTAATTATCAAACATTTAATATCAAGTTGTAGATTGTTTGAAACAATTAAATCAAATAAAGTTTAAAGTTTGTTTGTCTTTACTATATTATACTCCGTATTACACTGTATTGTAATCTTAGGTCTTTTTTAAAAAAATTTTTATTATCTTAAAATATATAAAATATTAATTAAATTATTAAAAATATATAATATTAATTAAAATTATTTATTTATAATAAATTTATACTTTTAAAAAATTTATGAAAAAAAGTGCTATGTGTAACCAAAACCTAAGTTTTCATGTCTAAACCCCCCAACATGTTTCATGTTTCATGTTTCATCTTCTTCTTCTTCTTCTTCTTGTCATTAGAAAGTGCATCCTCTTCTTCTTCTTTTGTCATTAGAAAGTGCATCCTCATGAAAAAATATTTCGCAGGTCATGGCTCTTTTTTATTATTATTTTTCTCTTTGGTGAACCGCAAGTCCTGGCGCTATTCGCTAGCTTAGCTGGTGACAGCACTTAGAGTTCACTTGGAAGCAGAAAAGTGCGTATGTTACTCAACAACCATACCGGACCTCCAGTTGTTACTGATATTGTCACATATGACAAACTGGCAATGTTAGTAAAGACTTTTGCTAAAAAATTAAGACTTTTTGTATCTACAATTAAAATAAAATTTAATTTATCATTTTCAAAGTAAAATATAATAATTATTAATCAATAATTACTTTTTATCATGTATTCTTAGAGTATAAAATAGATAAATTATTTTTTTTTATATTGAAGAATTAGTTACTTAATTATACAAAAACTTTAATTCTTAACTTTAACATTAAATCAAAATCTTTAAGTTAATAGAATTAACTCAGTGAAGTTTCTGTTGGTGACTTTAACTTCAATAGGTTGGCCATCAGAATGACTAAAAGTATCTTAGTGTTTGAGTGGGACTTACAACTTAATTTAATTAGGGTTCTTTTGATATGTGCTTTTTAAGGTATAAATTAAAAGGGTAATATATATATTTTTATTATAAATTTATATTAAAAAATAAAAATTAACATTTAATTTATTAATTATCTAATTGACATTAATATTAAAATTAATATCAATTTTTATATTTTTTTATACATCAGAATGACTAAAAGTATCTTAGTGTTTGAGT